CAGGGATGGTCTAGGTAATACTTAAATACTTAGTCCTGCCATAAGTGTAGGGGACTGGACGTTATGGCCTCCCTTCCAGTTCTTTGATTTTGTGTGTGTGTGTGTGTGTGTGTGTGTGTGAAGTAGAAAAAGGGTTGAGAATAGCTCTTAGCATGGCAGTGTCTGAGGTGGAGCAATTCCAGGGTGAATCATTAATCCAGAGCCCCACACTGCCCCCCCGACCCGTCTCTCTGATGCTTCCGTCACCGTGTTACTTGAAGTCCGTGGCTCACAGCGCCTGGCAGGCGGTGAACTCTTTGTGTTGCTGCTGTCAGGAAGGCTTTTGTCTGACCCGGACTGGCTTTATGGTTGATGCATACACAGTAATTGTATTTGTGTGTCTGTTTGTGTGTTTGTTTGTGTTTATGCGTGTACTCGTTCGTATGTGTGTGTTTCTGGGTGTATATAGATGGATGCGTTTATTTGTTTGTGTCTTTGCAATTGCTTTTTCATGTGTGTTTAGTGGTGTATTTGCTTTTGAGTGATTGTATATATTAATGTGGTTGTATGTGTGTTTGCACACTTCCTCGGTGTGTGTACTTCTGTGTTTTTGTGTAGCAGTGATTACCTGAATGTGCTTGTGTGCGTATTTTTCTGTATGCAGCACTGTTTTGTCCGTGTGTCTGGAATAGAAAAAAAGGGAAGAGAATAATCATTACAACACATTGTTTGATGCACAGAGGAATTCCAGTGCGAGTGAATTAAACCAATGATGAAATTATGCCCATCTGCAGCTATTTATAGCCTGGGAGACTTTCTCTGGGCTGCTCTCATCCCCTGTCCCTGGCAGTCTGCAGCTGGTGAGCGCCCTCAGCAGCAGACACGTTGCGCTGTTACTGCAGGGGAAGGTTTTTGTCTGAGCTCAGACTCACTTCCCCTCACTGTGTGACTCGTGCAGTAATACACGGCGGTGTCCTCCGCTCTCAGACTGGTCATTTGCAGGTAGAAGTTGGTGCTGTCCTTGGAGGCTGTGAATCGGCCCTGGACGGAGGAGGCGTAGTACTTGCTTCCCTCATTGTAATACCAAGCCAGCAACTCCAGCCCCTTTCCGTGCTCCTGTCTGATCCAGCCCATCCAGGCGCTGCTCAGAGTGAACCCACTGCTGACACATTGCAGTTTATGGCACTCTCCGGGTTTCTTCAGCGCTGGCCCCGACTGGGTCAGAACCACCTGTGAGCGGGGCCCCTGGGGGAGAAGGGGGGAAATGGCAGATTGTAAATAAAGCTCAGTCAGCAGAGGAAACCGGTAATTTATTAGCGCCGGATTCAAGGAGCGACTGAAAATAACCAGGGAACAGTGGGAGAACCAGCCACACTGGGCACTTTGTACATCAGTCGGGGTGAGACGACAGAAGAGAGAAGTGTCACACAGCACATCGATAGCAGCAGCAATAGTACCAGATACCCGGCCCCTCCTGTGTATTAATGGGGGATAATGTACCTTCCAGCGCCGCTACAAAGAACATGAAGTGGAGACAAAGACTCATTTCCCCTGGTGTTGTTGGGGAAAGTTTTGCAGGCGATTGGCAGGTTCACAGACCCAGGGCGCTGCGGATTGTCTCTCCGGGTGCAGCCTGGGTAGAGATAGAGACAGATTTAAACAGGAACCTGTCCCCTTATTTGCATATCCCGCCCCTTATAAGAGACACAAACTCCCTCCCTGAGTGATGTGAATTATTCGCAATAGGGCTCAGGGAAAGAGAATCAGACTGTGTCTTGCCGTCTGTTTGTGCAGCGCCTGACACAGTGCGAGGAGCTCCTGAGTATACTTGTGCATAAGAAAGAAATTAACAACTCCCTGGAATTACCTAAGATCTGTAGAGGCGAATATAAAGCCTAGTGCAGGGTTTATTGTATTCACTGAATAGACTCCCATTCCTGTTAGTAGGCTTTGGATCAGAGCCTTAGAGAGAAGAATATTTCCTAGAAAACAGGGCAGATACAGAAGACCTTGTCTTGGAGCGGGACGCCCAGAGGTGTGTGAAAGCAATGCTCTCTTTGCAGACTATGTGGGTACTGTAGCTGTAGGCAACTATTTTCAAAGGGGACTGAATTAGTTAGTAGCTCAACTTCCAAACAGTTTCAATATGATCTGGGCCCCTAACTCCACTAGGCCCCATTGCAAATCCCACCTGGAGGTATCATACTGCATAGTTCCTTCTCCAAATGGCAAGAACATAAGAATATAGGAATGGCCAGACTGGGTCAGACCAAAGGTCCATCTAGCCCAGTATCCTGTCTTCTGACAGTGGCCAGTGCCAGGTGCCCCAGAGAGAATGAACAGAACAGGGAATCATCAAGTGATCCACCCCTGTTGCCTATTCCCAGCTTCTGGCAAACAGAGGCTAGGGACACCATTCCTGCCCATCCTGGCTAATAGCCATTGATGGACCTATCCTCCATGAATTTATCTAGTTCTTTTTTGAACCTTCTTATAGTCTTGGACTTCACAACATCCTCTGGCTAGGAGTTCCACAGGTTGACTGTACTGTGTAAAGAAATACTTCCTTGTGTTTGTTTTAAACCTGCTGCTTATTAATTTCATTTGATGATCCCTAGTTCATGTGTTACCAGAAGGAGTAGAAAGAACAGGAGTACTTGTGACACCTTAGAGACTAACAAATTTATTTGAGCATAAGCTTTCATGGGCTACAGCCCACTTCATCGGATGCACGTAGTGGAAAATACAGTAGGAAGATATATATATATATGTATATATATATATATATATATATACACAGAGAACATGAAACAATGGGTGTTACCATACACACTATAAGGAGAGTGATCAGTTAAGGTGAGCTTTTATCAGC